AGTTTGCTCTGGTTCGCCTGGACCAACCATCCGTCGATGCATTTCATTATTTCGACTTCGGCATGTGTACCTTTTGGTTTTGGAATAGTATTAGTGTTTGTAGCTATAATTAATTATTTGGTAGATTCATATATGATTTATGCGGCCAGTGCTTTAGCTGCCAATTCTATTCTTCGCTCATTGTTCGGGGCTGCCTTTCGTAAGTTTTCTATTATCCAATGCTATCACCCTATTTACTCATTTCTGTTTGTAGCTCTTTTCACTACTAAAATGTTCCACAACATTGGTATTCACTGGGCAGTTTGCGTTCCTGCGTTTGCCGCCTTACTATGCATACCCTTGCCGTATCTCTTCTGGAAATATGGTTCTTTTGCGCGACAACGGTCTAAATACGCATCCGAAATGATTATGTTGATGGAAGCTGCTCATAAATCATCGGTTAAAGGTTTGGAAGGAAACACAGAAGTTAAATCATCAATACGTTATTCAATAGTTAGTGACGATGTGGCAATTGTCCGCCTCTGAGAAGTTTTTCAGTACTATATTTTTTATCAGTCTTCCTTTTAAGTCTGTGAAGGGTGAGGCGTGAATTTAGCATTGGCGTGCGTTTTTTATTAGCATTCACATTTTCAAGAGAATATACGATCATCTAAAACTTAGCAGAAATAATTTCCATATATTTTATTGTTTAAAAATGTAGGCTATATAAATACTAGTACATATATAACATTTGATGATTTACCATCTCGAACAGCTGGATCAAATGTTTATAAGAATATTATTCGGAATAATACATATGCTTCTATCAACTCTTATAATGTAAGTGGATATTGAACAGGCACTGTTAGTCCAAATTTTATATCATATAACAGTGGTGGTACCCCAATGACAATGACACGGATTGATAGTACTCTTTTTACTCTACATTCTGTTCCAATGACTGCAGTATGGAATGATAGTTTACAATTAAATATATAGTTGGATATTGTTCAATTGTAATTATTGCAAAAAATACTTATATACTTCAAGTCTTTTTATTATCTAATATAATATTTATTAGATATTCTAACTTAGACAAAGTTGTATTTTCGATATCAGGTGGAATACCAAATCCAAATCTTGAGGGTAGTGGTATGCAGTATGAAATGGATAATCTTCGTATCGGTGTCATATGAATATGAAGATCATCAGAAAAGAACATTTCAATAATTTTTTCTTTATTTTAATCTGAAATATAAATATTAATAAATGAAAACTTTTATTAATAAATGTTATTAAATTTATAATTAGAAACAATTGAAGAATGAGTCAAATATAACTAAATATCATTTTTATTTTATGTACATGCTCAAGATTATTTTTCTCCCAGTTATTATGAAATCAGTTGGAAAAAAATAGAATATTTGAGATAAGTGTATGATGCATAAAAAGAATTTTATATTTAAATAATTTATTTTCTCCGTGTTATTAAATCAACTCTTTCTGATAATTCTGATATGCTTTAGAGTCTTTTATTTGAATATATTCATGATTTACTTATATTTTTATACAATAATTTATGTTTATATATTTTTAAATTTCATCAAAGCTAATTTAGTTTTCAAATGAAATTATTTAAAAAGAAAAGTATGAAAATTTTATGAATGAGTGAAAACATGAACTGAGGAATTTCTTCATGTTTATGAAATATAATCCCATTAGTTTTATAATACATGGATATTTTGCTCTTGAATGTTAAGATAATTTACGTAAAGTGCTTGGAGAATGTTAAATAAGTGGATTTTAGGATAAATTTGGAAATTTTATCACATGTCTCTTTGTATTTTTTTTTGAATAGAATGAATTAAAACAGAATATTCTCTTTTACTTTCTTTTTTTCTTATTTGCAAGAGGAAGTTAACAGTTTTATTTAACATAGGATTGACAGCCGGATGATACTGTGTCAATTGTGCTGAGAGCTTGCCTCCATAAATTGTCATACTACCATTAAATCTTGTACGACCAACAACTCCGACAATTTGTGTTCCTGTAGACATATAAATCATGTCGAATTTTGGACAACACATAGAGATATCTTGACTTCCGGCATTAAAAATCATTCCACCTCTAATATGATCAAGACCATGGAGTCCTAAACCAAGTTCAGGAACAAGTAAATGACGTCGATCGGTATTGAGTAGAAGATAATTTCTTACATATACATACCAGCTCGAAAAGATCCAGTTATAAGCACAGGTATTGATTTATTTACTATAATTATCAGCTGTTACTTGATTCTCCTTTAGTGAAGTCTTTTTTCCAGTAACTATTTGTTGTGATAGAAAGTATCAAAATGAAGCAATTCTCTTTTGTATATGTGGCAATAATTGCGCAATCAAGATTGTAATTCTTTCAGCGTATCATTTTCAAAGCAGAAGCTTTTTCATGGGATTAGAATACTACGTATACTGAATTTTTGATATGAGACAAACTTCGATCCGTTTCAGCTGGCAATAAAGGATGAGATCTTATATAAAACACATCATTTTTCTTCTTTTCTTTTGTATTTTTTTATTTTATTAAAAGTTCAAGAAGAGAAGTGCGAAGAATGCAAATTAAAACACTTTTTGTCATCATATGTAATCATTAGTTCCCGTTTCATTCTAACGTCTTAAAAGTGTTTTTATGACGAAAGAAAAAAAACGATAAGTTTGACATCGATGAGAAAAGTAATGTTCACTCTTCATTAGAAAAGAAAAGAAAAGAAAATTATTGTGATAAAAGCATATTTTCCTGTCAAATGATACGATTAAATTGTTGAAATGGAATGGACATATATGAGTTACACAGTTGCCAATTATGGAATTACATTTGGTCTTATTCTTATTACGATTTTGGGTGTTTTTGTTACATATTTTAGTTCAAGAAAAGGTCGAGAGTTTGTTATTGAAAAAGTTATTGGAATCAATCCGGAAAAAGCACATGATACTTATGATGATCAAAATATCAAAAACCTTTCTCTCGACACGAATGAAAATCAATTTAAACAACGGTCCACTTTTTATATTGGTATATTTTGTTGTTTACTCGGAGGAATGATATTATCTATAACAGCCGTACTCATGTTTCAAGGTTGTTTCTTGATGGATATTAGACTTGTACCAGGTGATAATTGTCCTAAATATACGATGGATTGTTTTGTTTTTGAAGGCAGTAGTTTTGCTCCTATAACACATAACGCAACATTCGTTTGTCAATATATGAATAAGGCGGAATTTCCTGCTGATATCTCTGATGCTACGGCATGGTGTTATGCATGGATTATTCGTTACCAATCTGTAGCAAGTGTTTTAGATCAGATCGGTATAGCTATTGCTCTTATTGGTTTCTTTACAACAATCTTAGCTATTATTGTTTATCTTGGTAAAAGTATAAAAACTATTATAGTATCTATGATTATTATTTCAAGCTGTTGTGCTCTTATTCTTCTTCTTCTGTTTTTCAAATGGTCATTTGCCCCTTTAACGTACGCAATTCTTTCATTGGGTATAACATTAGGAGTATTTGGATTACTTCTCTTTTGTCTTCTATCCAAAGCAGAAAAGCAGACGAATAGCACACAAATACTCACACCAATTACAAATCCATTGAATATAGAACAATCCACTTCATCGACAAAATTATCTGACGAACTTGTAATTATACATCATTCATCAAAAGTCACACCTTTATAAAAATACTGTTCTTTTCTAAAACATAATATATGAGGAGAACTAATAGATGTACCTATCATGTACGACTCGTCGTCAATCTTGTCTCATTTCAGGGAATTTATTTTCAATTTCCTAAAAATCACACGTCATCTTTTCTCAACTACTTTCCATACTTGGAAATTCGTTGTAAATTGTCTTTGCATAAAATTGTCCAGCAATTACTATAATGTATCACATGTGTTGAGCCGCTTTTGCCTTATTCGAACTCTTGTAGAGAATGTTGTAAAGCATCAGCTGGACGTATCCAGACATGTCAGACAACTGGATACACAAGTGACAGCAAATGATAAATTGTTGTCGGAGTAAAATGTGGTCATAAATCAACTGAAGCGCCGAGTTGCCTATGTCGAACGGCAACGAGTTACTCTCTCGGAACAGGACACTAACAACTTCGTCGATCGGAAGACTATGGAGGATCAGATTCGACAACTGTGTAAAACTGCTGCTATTCTCATCGTCGCTTCGGTTGTTATTGTCACATTTAGTGTGTCACGCTTATTTCTCTTGATGTTGATTAGCGCACGATTGGTGGATGTTGACCGCGCAATCAGTACGCTGCTGTAGGTGCTACTATGCCATTGATGACATTGTGTGTAATAACCTTCCATTGTTGTTTGTCGAGTGCTTGTTCTTTTGCTTCAACTGGACTGAGCCTGCGTTTTCCATAACAGTCTGTATGGAAGACGGTGTGAATTCATACGACAGATATGGTCAAACCAACGTATTCGTCGTTTTTGAATTTTCATCGGATATAGTAGGTTGATCGCAACATCACTTTCTGATGGTTTCATTTCTTACTTTATCTCGAATTGAGATATTCAAGATACGATGTGGACAGCGCATTCGAAAGACTTCGAGTTTCTTCAGATCACTCTGTAGTAATGTCCATGATTCCGCACCATACAGCAATACTGAGAGAGCTAGTGATTTATAGATCCGCATTTTCGTATATATGTTGATGTTAATGTTCCAAACACTGCTACAGCTTGTCCGATTCGATTGATGATGTCTGCTGTTGCAGCGGTTCTTTGCTCTTCGACTATTGAACTCAAGTACTTGAATGATGTCGGAAGCTTCTGATTCTGATTCTGCGAAGACTACACTGTCATCAGCGAACATTAGACCTGTAATGAATTCGTTATCACCAAATTGTACACCACGTCGATTTTTAAAGACTTTTCTCATGACTGCGTCAACAACTATATTGAAGAGCAGTGGTGAGGCGACAAAGCCTTGACGAACACCTGTGTACTGAAAATTCTTCAGATTGTTCTTCATTTACGCGAATGCAGCTTTTCTTTCCTTCGTACAACTGTTGTGGTAAATGTACGATCTTGTCAGACACACCCTCAGCGACAAGTGATCTCCATAGTGCCGGTTGGTGAACACTGTCAAATGCAGCGGCGAAATCGATGAATACAGCAACCAGTCTCTTGCCACAACGAATACGTTCTTCAAGCAATTGCCGTAGTGTGAACACTTGATCGCAGCAGCCTCTCCACGGACGAAAGCCAGCGTGTTCTTCGCGCGCCAATTGTTCGTGTCTTGTCTGAAGTCGTTGTTGGATCACTGTCATGAAGACTTTGTCCACGACTGAAACCAGGCCGATTCCACGGTAGTTTTTGCATTCTTGATTATCCCCTTTCTTGAACAGTAGAATGATTACCGCTTGTTTCCATGCACATGGTATGCTGTCGGACTGCCAGATCATTCGAAGCAACGAATGGAGACGGTTGATTAACTGGATAACCTCCTGGAGTTGGATGATTGTAAAGTTTTTGGAAATACTCTCTCCAGCGATTGAGCCGTTCGTTGTTGGATCGGACAAAATTGGCGTCAGTCTTTTTGATGTTGTCACTGGTACGTTTCATTTTGCCTCTCAGCCGGCGTAAAGTTGTATATAAAGAACGGTACTCGTCGATGTGCTGCATCTTCGAGTTCTTGTGCTATGTCGTTCCAGTAAGCGTTCCGTTCGCTCTTGAATTGGATGCGAATCTCTTTGTTAAGTTGTCGGTATCGCGTCGTATTGGTGAGCTTACATTGCCTTCGTTAAGTCACCAATTCCGGACTTTTGTCTGAGATCCATGACTGTGTTCTTTGTCATATTGTTGTACAAATTGTATCCGTGCATTCCTTCATCGCTTTGCTGAATTGTTCAGTTGCTTCGTTGATGTCGTCGGTTTCTTTGAGGGCAGCAAATTGATTTGTAAGTACCATTTGGAAACATTGCTGTACTGTTGGATCTGCGAGTTTAGACCAATCGCGTCGCTTACTGGTGGTTGACTTCGGACATGGTCGTTTTAAGCGTATCTGTATAATAGTGCGTACGAGATGGTGGTCAGAAGCACAATCGGCACCTCTCATTGTACGAACGTACATAAGTGAAGTTCGAAAGCGCCTTCTTACAAGAAAATAGTCTAAAACCGACATATCTTTCCCATTCGGTGCTCTCCAGGTAAGTTGATGTTTTAGTGGATGGCGAAATAGACTGTTTTCAATGGTTAGCTCATTTGCTGCAGCAAAGGATAGTAGACGTAGACCATTGTCATTCATGTTGCCAATACCGTAATTGCCATGTACATCTTCCCAACCTTGCCGGTTACTGCCAACTTGTGCATTAAGATCACCAGCAATGAGAATCAGGTCCTTCCTGGGTAGCGCATCTAGTAGCTCCCGCAATTTTATATAGAATTCATTTTTCGACTGGTCGGAATTGACTTCAGTCGGGGCATAAGCAGCAATGATATGCGTATTTATTGTTCCATAGAGAGACAAAATTGCAAGACGACTTGAAATTGGTTGAAAGGCGATTAAATTTTGAGATATTGTTCGGTCCACTGCATAGCCAACTCCTTTCATACGTTTCTCACCACCAAAGTAGTATAGCACCATATAGTCGTCGCTGTTGGGGACTTGGACGTGCATAGTTCCTGATCTTGTTAACCGCAGTTTGGATAGTGCAGCGATAGAGATTCCATAACGATGTAATTCGCGAACGATTATTTCACGACTTCCAACTTGAAAACCGGCCCGGAGATTCCAAGTGGCGATTTTCCAACGATGACGTGGTGTCAGGACGCGACTTGTATTGTACTTGTTAATTTTGTTGTTGTCGACGCCGTTGTCGTGTTGTGGGTGGGCAGTAGCAAACTTCCCATCGACGTCCTGGTCCCGGTTACCCACTAGCGTCGACGCATCGCCTACCCGGATGCGGTAGCATAATTTTTAACGTAATGATTAATGGTCATAGTAGGTTCGTGCCAAGATTTTTTGGTCCTTCGGCAGGGGCCAACCCTCCTCCTTTATCCGGGCTTGGGACCGGCTGTAGTTTCCCACAGGCGGAGTTAAAATACATAATTACTGATCGAAAAATTTTTTTCTGTTCTCTCATTTGGTATATTGTACTCGTTTCATAAATAATAGCGTGTAATAATATAATAGAAACAAAGTCCAGTCATGCGATAGATCAGTCATCGCTCTATCTGTATTTATATTGAGAAGAAAAGTTACAGTAATATAGGGGGCGCGAGGTTATTTGACTAGCTTTATTCATTACGTAGATAAATAACAATACGAACTATTACCATTATGAAGAAAAATTTCTTTCTATCTATACCCATACCATCACTTCTTTATCTCTGCGACAGAATAAACTTCTTCCCGTATTAAGTTACTTTGACTCAGGCCGCCTACCTATTCGGCTGTCAATCAAGACGAAAGGCAAGAACGAGCAAATACTCTGCGCTATAAAATACATCGTTGTTAGTAGTATATCTTCATTCTATTTGGTTACGCAGGTAAGGATAGATGAACAATTTGTTTCTTATTTCGTGGTTAGTATCATTTATTTATAAGTGGTTGCAGATATTTGTTCTTGGTAACTGAGAAAAACAAGTTAGTGTTTCTCATTTAGACATGCACTAAACCCAAACAGTTTGGGTATTGAGATTGGGTTTGGGTTTGGTGCATGTCTATTCTCATTATAACATGGACGATAGCTGTAGGTAGCTCATTTCTGTATCTTTGATTTTGATAAGAAGAAATGTGTATTTATTTATGAGTGGTTCGAAATAAGTGTGATTCTTTTATTGTTCACGCATATAGTCATTTCAACCATTAGCGAAAAAATCCATCTGCTAGAACCATCGGCGGGCCAGGGGGGACAATTCCCCCCCCCCCCCTGAAATTTTTTCACCGGCCCGCCGATAGTTAGAGCACTATCTTTTTGTTATGCTGTAATATGGTACGCAGTTATTTTGATAGAAATTTTGTAAAAGAAAAATGTGATGGATTGGTTAGTTCTAGTTATGTGAATGGCTTATAGTAGGTTGTAAAGGCATATATATATATATATATATATATACGCAGGGATCAGTTAGTTTCTCTTAGCACTCTAGTTTGAGAAATTTGAGTGCGTAGTTGTTCTCACTGATAAAAATTTTCGTAGAATGATAAACCCTCAAAAAAGGGTTTACAACTGAAAAGGACGGGGGCGCATAAGACCACGAATCGGCCCATTTTTATTTTGCCTACTAACCCCTTATGAGTTTCACACCATCAGAAAGAGCTCTTTAAGACGAGCATTTTGATATAAAATTGTTCGGGTTTCGACCACGTTTTCATTACAATAAGCCACCGGCAAAAATCTTCCTTCTTCAACAATTTGCCGCAAATTTTGATTTTTACTGTGAGCTCTATTTCATAAGCAAAAGGCAAGATAAAAACAACAGTTAATTAGTGACTTCGATGGCTCTTGATCAGGGCTTTAATTCTATGTATAAATCACTAGTTTATCGTCTGTTTTCGTACGACAAAAATTCGATAGAATGAGCATCACTACGAAGATATTTGCTCAGAATAATTGAAGGTACCAAAATTCTCACTCAGCACGTTCGATAGCCGGCGGAAAAAGCTACCTTTTCGTTGTATTTTTTTGATAAAAACATATGGCCACATGCACATTTTTAAACGAAATCCCGACTAACTCTCCATTTGCCACTTTTTCGCTCTTTCTGAGCACATTTTGTGCACAGAAAGGGATAGTTATACCAAAACAGATTCCAAATTCGGAATCAGCACAAAAAACTGAGTAGAGCTACACACAGTTCAGATCCTTCCAGCATATTTAATTTTTTTAGCTACTGTGAGGCCATCCCTGGAGTAGGGTACGGCAATTTTTTCGAGGAAAACTAAATGTGTTGGAAGGATCTGAACTGTATGTAGCTCTACTCAGTTTTTTGTGCTGATTCCGAATTTGGAATCTGTTTTGGTATAACTATCCCTTTCTGTGCACAAAATGTGCTCAGAAAGANGCAAAATAAAAATGGGCCGATTCGTGGTCTTATGCGCCCCCGTCCATTCGTTTATCAACGTGATCTACTCCCTGATCAACCCTTTTTTCTTGATAAACCCCAAAAAGGTATATTATCCGTTGCAAACTGATAAACCCAACAGTTTATCGTCTCTTGATAAACCCTTTTCTCGTTGATCAACTGAATCAATTCCAATCGAAAGATTTCTTGGGTATGATGATAAACTCTGAGTTTGCCGGTTGATTCAGTTAATCAACGGGAAAAGGGTTTATTAGTTTGCAACGGATACTATACCTTTTTGGGGTTTGTCAAGAAAAAAGCATTGATCAAGGGCTAGATCAAGTTGATAAACGAATTTTTCAGTTATAAATCCTTTTTTGAGGATTTATCATTCTACGAAAATTTTTATCAGTGCTGTAAACTGGTCAGAGTGATAAAAAATCTATACTGTTCTAGTATATGGTTTTGGATCAAGAATCGTTTAGTACCTTCGGGTTTTCAGTTGTTTGCATTATAGTAATATGAAAACTTTATCTTTATTTCACGATCTTAAAAATGTTTTCCTTCACTGATATAGGTAAAAGGCGTTTGCGTTCTCATTGAAACCAGAGGTTAATCCTATATGGGTATTGGTCCTCTGAAGAAACGCGTGAGAGGATGTGGTTGGAGCTCGGATTCAGGAATAAGAGTAGTTGCATTTTCATCCATAAAGTGCGTCAAAAGTGTTTTAACACGTTATTATGCGTATAAATCTGTGATTCTGAAAGTGTTTTCGCAACGGGTGCGAATTTTAGAAGATTCTTTTACGAAAACCGTAGATTGTTGTTTATCAGTGTAATACATCCACGCGAGACCATTTATACGCAATGAGAACAAGACGTCAATTTTTCCTATGGCATCCTGAAAAAATTGAATAATTTAACGATTGTTATTGATGAAATGAGCAGAGGAACAGCGAGAATAAGAGCTGAAAAGATTCACTTTTTTTGTAGGAATGTAAAATCGTGCATGTTGTAGATAGCTGTACATGCAGATGTACAGGTTCGGCTTCGTCTAGCACTATATATGGCACTCCCAGCCTCTGAAGTAATGCAAATGATTAATTACGGGTGGAAACGGATTTATATTTTGCCTTTATTTTTAATATGATTTTTGTTTCATCAGTATTATATTCTATGTTACATTTGAAGTGACTATTCCTACGTAATGGAATTTTTGTGAAACATGATCCGAAAAAGGATGTTGAAGTGTTTAAGGGGGAAATTTTCAACCATAAATCCCCGCTCCCTCCCTCCGCAGACCGTGACAGACGGGTTAAAACCTCGCCAGTGGCGTTGACCGACACCGATATTGTAAAAAACTTCTGGACGTCAAAGGTGACGAGGAAATACAAAACAATATTATGGATTTAACTACACAAACTTAGAGAATCTCGTTGAACATGCTGCGTGACTTTGTGCAAGTCAACATTTTCCACAGGCCCCTTGTCAAGAATAGGGTTTAATTGAGATGTCATCAACCATCGAAACTCCGTATATTATTTGCCTAATTTAGTCTCAGCCCTACTTTCACATTTTTGCATAGATACCATTCTACAGTTTTTCTCTGCTTCGTTGGTATATATGATTTCAACGACCATATGTACGGTTCAACTCATTTGTGCTTTCTGAGAGGGCTCTTACGACAACGATGACGCTAGTTTCATCATGTTTCACGTTTTTATTCTATTAGGGATTGCGTTGAAAGCCTTTTTAAAATCAACAAAATCTGCAAAGAGAAAAGAAATACTATATGTTGACCTCAATTTCATATCATTTGAATCAAAAGCGTTAGTTGAACTAGTAGACTACTCAAATTGTAGCAGGGCGGGTCTCTATTTATCTAGCTTCTGGTTTAAGTCACATAAAATAAAAATATCCGCATAGTATTTTTTTTCTTTTTCTCCCTCCTACTACGATAACAGAAAAAAGTGAACCTACAGTTCCTCAGAGTGTTCCGTTCTTTGGACGAAGAACTACTGATTATCTTTAAAATAAGTGTAATTTAACCCTAGTCCGTTCGTACTTTTTTACGCACTCTAGTAGCAAAATACGCTCCCATAACATTATTCTCTCTTCTAACGCTACTATCCTGCCAAAAGGATGCCAGTGTTGTATTCAATTCGATGGAAAAAATATCAAGAGTATATTGGTTCTTTATTTCGAACAATTAATACAGAAAATTTGTAACAGTCAGTGGAAGTTTTTATGTCTTTAGATGTTTCACGTACTGAACACCGCTTTCGTTTTCTTTGTGTAAAAATTTTGAAGTTTTCGAACGAAAGGTCAATAGAGGAGTTACTGGACTAACGAGAAAACCTCCTTCGGTGTCCCCTCAGATTCCAATGAATGTCGTTCAAGAATGGCATATTGTATCATGATAAAACCCTAAAATGATTTAATTTTACAGTTATTTGTTCAAGAGTTATATCCCTTTTACTGGAGTTTCAATCTAGCGAAATGTGACGTTGTTAAGTACCATGGCAGTATATCTTTGATAGGACTATTTGGATACTTTTCTTCGGCAAGCAATGTTCTCTAATATATCATTCGATAGAGTGAAGCAAATATTATAACTAGGTATATAGATCATTTCATTTTCGGGTTGGTCCGTACAGTTTACGTCGCTCATAACCATTCCAACTGGTAAAAATTGCGTATTTTATCTAATATCACGGAGCTTTTCGTACTCATAAGCCGTGCGTGTACCAGAAAGAATGTCGTATTCCGACTTAGCACAAAAAAACTGAGTTGATCTATATGGTTTTCAAAGTTGTCTGACCACCAAGAAAACATATTCTTAGTGTTCAGAGTACAATAAACACCCAATAATATAGTTAATTAACGGATGAAATCTTAGTCCAAATCTATTTCATTTTCTGACTCATCCCCGAGGGGTGCCAGGGCAAAACTGTATACGAAACAATGAAAGTGGTTAGATAACTTTGAGAACCACATAAATCGACTCAGTTTGTTGTGCTGAGTCTGACAATGGCATTCTTTCTAATCGATACATCACTCACATGTATGAAAAATGCCGTTATCATTTATGAAAAAGACAGTATTTATCAATGGAAATGATCATGAGCGATAGAAACTGTCCGGATCAACCCGGGAATGAAATGACTCCTATACCAAAATTTGTAGCCCTTGCTTTGCTCTATCGAATGATATATTAGAGCAATCTGCTCGCCAAAGTATTTAAAAGGTCCGGTCTATGACAAACTCACATGGTGCTTAATGTAAGAATGAGACCATGATAGCCAAGATACCTCATAAATAAACGATAGGTACCATATAAAACGAGACAAAGTTGAATGCCCTATCGAGTGAAAATAGATATTCTCGAATAGTAAGTTCACAGAAAAGTCAAAAACGCCTACAAAATCTTCATCGAAAATATATCTTCAATCTACGTAATTCTTTTTCATTTTGCTTGTGCGATGCTTATTTCACTTCCCCAAGATGGATTATCAGTGAGTTTCCGGGAAACTTACCGTGGCCCATTTTTACGTTGCTCATCCGCTTCAGTCCCTTCCAATGTCTGGATTAGAAATTACGCATGTGGGGTGGACTTGGGTTAAGGTTATATTTCAAATTTTAGGTCATCTTGGATATGATTGTTGTGAACGATAGTGAAGCGAACGTGGCAGAACAAGAACAAAAGGGAGAAATGTTCCACAGTTATCCTCACATAATTGGTCTTGATCACGAACTTTTTCGATTAAATGATACACCCATAACAGATGAATGTCAGTATAATGCGCTTGGACGAATGGAAACATATTTGAAAGTACAAAATGCTAGGATGCTCGGTTTTCAAACGAACAAAGGCAGTTACTATTCAAAAAAGCTTTCATTTATGCTCGATGTTAATGCAAATAATGCGGGAGATCCATTTGTAAATGGAAGTTATACGATGAATACTAAAATAATGGAACGAGCAGTACTTGATTATTTTGCTCATTTGTGGCATGCAGAATCGCCTAGTAATCCGGCTAATCGCGAATCCTATTGGGGTTATGTATTGAGTATGGGATCCACAGAAGGAAATTTATATGCTCTTTACAATGCTCGAGAATATCTTAAAGGCAAAATTTTACACCGAGAACAAAATCAACAGCTACCGTGTATAAGATCATCAGAGAAAGATGGACATTCTGCTAATACTTATATTCCTGTAGCATTCTTTTCTGAAGATACTCATTACTCAGTAGGAAAAGCACTTCGAATGCTTGAAATTCGGACATTTTTTGAAATAGGTGAAATGGAATATAAAGGTCAATGTCCAATTACATCCGATGGACATTGGCCAAAGAAAGTCCCATGTGAGAATGGGAATGGGGGACCAGGCTCGGTAGATGTGGACAAACTTATTGTCCTGGTCGAGTACTTTGCTCAGAAAGGCTACCCACCATTGATTATACTGAATGTCGGCACAACGTTTAAAGGTGCATACGATGATGTTGAAAAAGTTGGCAATCTTTTAAAGCCTGTCTTGACAAGGTACAAGTTACATAAACGTACAATTAATTATACTTCTGGTAAATCTGATGAACGCACAGGTTATTGGATTCATGTGGATGGTGCATTAGGTGCGTCGTATCTACCATTTATTGAAAAAGCACGTGATCGTATTAAAGAGCATATTCCGAAATTTGATTTTTCACTACCATTTGTTCATTCAATTGTTACTAGTGCACATAAAATTTCAGGTTGTCCAGTGCCTAGCGGCATCTATATGACAAAACATAAATATCAAATTACATCATATGATAATACTGAATATATTGGTTCACCTGATACGACATTTGCTGGCTCACGCAATGCTATTGCACCAGCCGCATTATGGTGTTATTATGCTAGTACTAGCGATGAAATAGAATCGGAAAGAGCTGTTCAAATGCAAGATATGGCAAAATACGCAGAAACAAAATTAAAAGAACTAGACCAAGAATCTCAACATTATGGTTACAATTTATGGATAGCACGTTCGCCACTTTCGCTTTCCATTATATTTCGTGATCCAGAAAATGAAGACATTAAACGAAGATATAGTTTATCTGAAATGAAGTTGCAGATTGATGACGAAACAGAGCCAAGAAAATATGTTCATATTTACACTATGTCAAGCGTAACAAAAAAGATGATTGAAGAACTTGTTGAAGATTTAAGACGCGAATACAAAAGTAAATGGATGCCGAAATAAAAGAACATAGTTGAAAAAAACGTGCCATTTTACTTACCAACGAATAAGTTGATATTCAACATGACGGACACGCATTATTTAATATAATAAATTCCTTCATAAATCCTTTGGGTATATGAGCAGTACTATACTCTTTTAAGGTCTTTTAACTTCATAAATCGTTTGAGAAACAAAGGATATATTACTGCTCACATTCCCGAAAGGTTTATGAAAGTACAACCTATAACATACTTTTGGTAGAACTAACCAAGAAAAAGAATTTTCGAAGGAAGTTATGGCGTTACAAAATTTTTTTGAAAGATTTATTCTTCTAAATTTATTTTTAGAGTAGTATCTATTAAACAACATTAAGATCTTTCCGAAGATTTTTTAGTTAAAATGGCGAATAATAGTGAAGAATATGCTTACGAAGTAATTGATAACGAGACGGATGCCTTTATTTGTGCTCAATTATTAGCAGATGAATTTGCTAAACATGAGCCTTTAACAAGTTTTTCTCAAATTGGATCAAAGGAATTTTTGGATCAAGTTATATGGCCAGCAATGTTAGATTCTCTTAAACATCGATTATCAGTACTTGCGCGACACCGTTTGACAAATGAAATTGTTGCTACTATTCTTGCTAATGATCTGTATTTTGATCATAAGAAACATCCTTATAATCCATCCGATCCACCGCACTCATTTGCTCTTATTGATTTTGCAAGTGAAATGGATGAAGCTTTCATCCAACGTGATTTTGGACAAAAATTAGAACCTTACATGGTATTGCATATTTTTATTGGGACTACTCAAAAACAACATTCTGGTAAAGGTATAGCAACTCGGTTACGTGCATTTATATGTGACAATGCAAGAAAAACGCAAGGATATCAATATGCTTTTGTTCAAGCATCGAATCCAGCAACTTACCATATATATATTGACAAAATGGGTGGACAAATAGTGACACTGTTCGATCCTAAGACATGGGTGTGGAAGAAAAAGGGCGATGGAAAATCATGTCCATTCAAAGAATTTACGGGTGGAATTATTCCAAATATTCTCATTAAGCTGACGTGAGAACAACAACTATTTCTATCCTCATAAACATCACTCACTTAACACTGGACGCTTAAAAATGATATTTATCAACAAAAGAGAACCATGATCTTGAGGGCGTTGCTAAAAACATCATTTGAATTCTAATTACGAACTTAGCGCTATCATAATAATCTTTCTGAAGATGCATTTCTAACAACATAACTCATTCTTTTATTTACTAATTAAAAGGGTAAAATGGAAAAAAAGAAATTATTGGAATCTATCATTTGTGGGTGAGGGTGTGAGGATGTGTCGAAGCTTGTCTGACTGGAAAAGATTGAAAAGTAATTTCGAGTGCTTTTAGGTAGTAGGATAAGATTTCCTGTTGATGGCAAATATTTGGAGTTCGTTACATGTCCACTCTCGTCATGTTCAGCAAAATTGTCGACTATCGCACGACATGTACAGGCCAGTCCCTATGAATTTATCGTAGTTCCAACGAACTCCAATTTTCGCATATTCGAAATAGCAATTCCAAGGAGGCTTACGAATTCCCGATTCTGATTCGAACCGGTACCAATTAATTCTAGGATGGAATATGAGTTCAACGGAAATTGCCGTCTTCTTAATTGGGTACTTCATGATTGTCAGAAATACGAATAAGTGTATGAACTTATTTGAACATCTTACGCCTTTTATTATTCGTCAAATACAGTGTGAGCAGGCAAACAGTCAAAGCCTACCGTACATTTCATATTCTATTTGCTATCACTGACAAAAAAAAGTTTCTTAGATGCTCAAAGCTTCCAATTGTGTCGACCTGTTGAAAAAAATGGTTATCAAAAATCTGCAAAACCAAAAAGGATCGGTCGGCGGGCACACGCTCTGAACCATCGCCTCGAAACCTTAAGGTTCCCTATTTTCTGGAGAACCTTTATTAGGGCCGTGCGAAACTTAAAAAGGTTTCGAGGCGATGGTTCAGAGTGTGTGCCCGCCGACCGATCCTTTTTGGTTTCGCAGATTTTTGATAACCATTTTTTTCAACAGGTCGACACCAGAGAGCGAAACGAGGCAATATTTTGCTGCCTCGCCTCGCTTCGCCTCGTTAATCTTTTACCTCGCCTCGCCTCGCCTCGCCTCGCCTCGGCTTTTCAAGATGTTATGGACACTAGTACTGAAAATTTCACCTCTATTAAAAGTCTAATCCAAGTGTTTTATGCTTGCAATGTGTAGCATATTAGATTTGTTATCCATTTATTTGACTCAGGTTTATTTTCTAATAAGCAGACAAGAAATATCAATGACAAAAAAGATAATTGATGAATAATGTTTTATCTACGTAGTTGTCGTTTTTATTTTATTGTTCGCAATTGACCGTAGAAACAGTATATTGTCAACTGTTGATGGTTCAATTGTAGATCGCCGTTGCGAAATAATTTGTCCCGCTGCACTGAACTCCCGTTCTACCGCTGCAGAGTTGCACGGAATTGAAAGATATCTCTTAGCCAAACGAGATAAACACGGAAAATTCGATTCATTCTCTTTCCAGAAATGAAGTGGATCCAGATATACTTTGCCTTGTAGATCAAATTCGATGTACCTGTCAACTTCATCTTTTCCTTGCTTCACTTTCTTTCGTTTTGCTTCCACATTATGATCCATTAAAGATTTCATGAATACCTTTTGACGTTTTTGCTTGGGTTCACAGACCGGCGCTTCTTCATCTTGAGCATTATCAATTCCCTCAGGTATTGCGGCATTTCGACATCTTTGATGGCAACAATCTATTTGAGTTGATGTTGCAAATCTCAATGTTTTATAATTCGGATGTAGAAAAGCGCCTATCACATGGATATCGTCCACTTGGAACATAGAATTCAATAGTTGTTGAGCACGTTTAGCAAAGAATTTCATACCTATATCAAAATCAAAATATTCTTTGTCTATTGAGGATGTAATCCATTTTTATAGTTATCAATTTAGTAAAGACAATTCTGATTTTAGTCTTCCCATGAAAAACACAAATGTTTTTTATTTTCTTTTTCTCGTAAAGAAATATTTTGACAAGAATTATTGATAACAAAGTTACGTACCATATTTTTCTTTCTTTTCACGATTGATGAGATCTTCTTTCAAAAACGTTACACAGGGAAGAACAGCAAATAGAGAAGGTGAGTTCCCTTTTTGAATCTCCTTTAAAATGTATTTCCATGGTTGAAAAAATTCAATCAGCTGCTGAACAATTGACATGTTGATTTTTTCAATTCTGTGTTGTTCATTGCGTTGAGTTAAAATTACTCGTAAAGGTTCATTTGATCTTTTTATACTTTCCAAAAGATCACTTAAAGATAAACATCTGACAATAGACGATTGATGAAGAGTGGTAACCATGTTGGACTGTTTTCCATTCGGTAATGATGATTCGTCAGTAGTTGTTGAATTATTCGATATCACTTCATCTTGTAATTGCATTTCACGATTTAAACTGGCCTAGAAAAATAAAAAGCTTTAAAATGCCGTCGGTAGAATCCATACGATCACTTACCTTTTTCACATAGGCAACTAGCGCTTTGCAGTCTTTAATTGTTTGTATAACAAGTTTAGCTGACTGTGGAAGATTCTCTAACGTTGTGGTGGAATAATCTAATAAGAAAAATTCATCATCTTCATCATCGTTAGAAGAATCGTCTGATGAATCACTATCTTCATCATTTTCATTGTTATTGTCCACATATGGATATCCAATTTCAGGCGATGATTGTCTAGAAGGTGTTCTTCTTTTGGTTTCTTTTGAAGGCGTTATTTCTGTGTCAATAAAAACTCTACATGCTGATTTGCTTGGTGTCACTTTCGACATCTTTTTGTTTTGTTTTGGTTGCTGATAAAACGTTCTTTTGAGTATATTGTTCAATCGATGTGCCACACAGTGCAGTACTTTACGATGTCGTAATCCTCGGATGAAATTGGCACCACGATCAGTAACAAATGTGATCAAATCGATATAGTCGTATAAATCGAAAACTTTCAATTGTTCTTCAATCACCTACAAAAAATAAAAAGCAAAGCAATTTGAAATTTATTATTAGACATTTCTTTTCATACTTTCAAGATCTCATCTCCTGTTTTTCTCTTTGCTTTGAATTCCGTGCAAAACAAATCAATTGAATGGAAGCGATACTGTTCATCTATGTAATGAGCAGTTGTTCCAAGATAAGATACTTTTCGATAATTATCAGTCCATATGTCTGGACTTAGACATAATCCTCCAAGTTGTGCAACATCAATTAGTTTTTGTTTTAATTCTTTACGTCCTTCGTCTGCCATTCTGTTGATTTCATTTCGTACTGTTCGATCACAACATAATATCTCTTCTACCATCACAGGTTGATCAGAACGCATTTCCCGGCCTAGAACGAAATAGTTTCAAATCGCATTAGATCCATTGCTCAGATATTCACCTATACTTAAGCATTCTTGCGAAATTTGTTTGAATCCTGGATCAGCAACGATTTGAAAAGGACGCATTGATGTTGCCGGCCATTGAGCACAAAGTCGTTTCACATTCTCTTTCTTCTTCCTGATTGTCTTTTCAATAATAGCAGAACGTTGTGCACTTGAATGCACACTATCTTTGATTGATTGTTGACCTCGTGGAAGTGATTTTGGACATTGATGTTGATTCAAACTAGTAGTACTTCCACAAACATATCGGAATGTTTCGAAACATTGTTTGCAAGATGCAAATCCTTGAATAATTTCAAATTCGCCTCCATCTATCGCTTGAGCAGGAAATCCAAATAAAGTCCAACACGTTGTTGTCAATCGTTTACTTGGATTATTCACAATTTTATAATCACCTTTATTATTTTTCAAAATTGTTTCAATTGATTTCGAAGTGTGAGTGTGAGAAGCGTTTGAGATGGGCTTCGTCCGATGAGGGGAAGAAACCAAGACATATTCATCATTTGAAGCCATCTAAAGAAGATGTAAACGTAACTTTCGAATTAAATAATTCAATAAAATGGAATTTGATGGCAAAATTAAACAAAAGAATACGCGTTCAGAGTCGTCTATTTAGTGATAGATTATAGTCTGGTCGCTCTTAGAATTGAAGAGCCAATTGAAAGGAGTATTTGTTACTAATATAGATGTCGATAAAAGTCGAAGCGGCACTGTTTGCCTTGCCTCGCCTCGCCTCGATCACATGTCAACTCGCCTCGCCTCGCCTCGACAGAATTTTCAAAAAGTCCGCCTCGCCTCGCCTCGCCTCGCCTCGGAAAAAAGCGAGGCGAGGCGAGGTGCCTCGACGAGGCTTCGCCTCGTTTCGGGCTCTGGTCGACACAATTGGAAGCTTTGAGCATCTAAGAAACTTTTTTTATGGATTTGGTAGAATACCTTATTTTTTTCAGTGTATTTCATAATGGCCATCAGATTCAACTTTTTCTCTTATTTGCGACATTTAGCATACATACATTTGTAGGTTCCAGAGTAACATAAACATAGTTGTTTTATCAGATGGACGTTGGGTGCGAATATGTGAATGAAGTGTCATCCAAGTCATAGGATAGTGGAATATTTCTGAATAGTTGAAAAAATAAGCAAAGTTCTCACGTCTTTAAGATTCATCACTCATATTCATAACTTTTCAATCCTAACTAACTGAGGATTCATCCATCGGCGTGAAGCTAGCACCATTTATTTAGCACCAGATAACGAAAAATCATAAAAATCTTATGTTAAAATGAATACACGTCCGTAGAAATAGGTTCATTCGACGTAGAGTTTAATTCTACATCGAATGATGTCGTTTTTATCGACGAGAAAACGACTGAGAAGATTCTATTTAGATTTTTTCCTTCCAGACGCAAACTTATAGAAAATCTGTATAAAATTTTGTCAGGCGTTTTCCCGTCGATAAAAACGACATCATTCGATCTAGAATTAAATTCTGCGTCGAATGAACCTATTTCTACGGACGGGAATTCATTTTCACAAAAGATTTTTCGTTATCTGGTGCTAGCTTCACACCGACATATAAAACTGTTAGATCAATTTGCCTCATAATTGCGACACGAAAAAATATCTGTTCTCCACAGTCGAAGGTTAAGTGAGTCGGTACGACGAGCGCTACTTGTATTTAGTGTGTCACGTTTATTTCTCTTTCTTCGATAAAAAACTAAAGAACGATATTTGATTGTGACGATTTCTGATGGAAGAGATGTATGCGCTGATGGAACTAAGCTTATTTATTTCTTCCTCATCAATCGCCTCTTTCTGATACAAGACACGCGTTTATATACTCGTCCACAGAGAAGAGAACGCAAGAATATATCATATCGAAGTACATCAAAATGTACTGAGATAAGGACATAATACGGCTAATCCATTAGATGAGAAAAATCGTATCATGCGTACAACGCATGTCAGAAAGATTGTCACATTGATGTGTGGCGAACAACATCGTATAACACATCCGAGAAGAAACTATGCTTTTTCATGTAGCATTCAACAATGTCATCTAATGGCATGGAATCAGTCTGAAGAAAAACCGATACACCCGAGAAACATCGACAGGTATGCATATATACTTTGCAATTGTCTATGCAACAGGTTGTCTGTTTGAATTGCATGTAGATATAGAAAATTATTCAAAAGAAAGATATTTTTCTTCATGTTGTTTACACGAGAGACAAAAAGGTAAGTGATATATGTCCTGTTCGAGATTGATGTGCAATCGAAAAGAAAATAGTCATATTGATTTCGGTCAGTTTCGTTCGTGTTGCCGTTTTCTTGTCGACCAATAAAGATGCATTGGGAAGCATTCATCGGTGAAACGTAAGTTTTGTTCCCATAACTGCCATATGTATATGACTCTACTGGTGGTATTCATGCGCTTTCTCGTACTCTTCTTCTTCATAGATGTGTAGCTCTCGACGATCTTATCGACCGTATGTTCAATCGTCCAGAGCGTCTCAGTTAGCCTCGTCGTTTGTTTTGTATGTGTTGACAAGAAGCGAAATAAATCGAAGTTGTTTTTGTCTTGACAAAAGCTCTGAAAAGGTCGTTCATCTGCGTCGATTATTAGGCTAGTATAGTCTGTCGGAAAGTGAAAAATTTGGATCATAGTACCGTTTGAGAGACACTCTATTTATACCATCCTCGTGACAGCTATGAGTAGATATTTCATGAGAGGATGTGTACAAGTCCTTCTACATCGATGTTTGGACTCTGATTCAGAAAGATTGATTTTATACATGGTGAGCAACAATATAATTTTGATCAAAAGTCAACATCGACTTTGCCAAAGAATTTAGTGCAAGTGTCGTTCAATTTATAAAGAAGAATTATTCATTGCACACAAGGACTAATGAAAAAAGGGAACACGCACAGGTTACATACACTTCAAAAGTCTGACGTGGCAAGAGGAGAAAAGAAGGCTTTCCACTTATGACGAAGAAAACTAATGTTGACTCAGATGCAAATGGCATTTTCTCTTTCTTTTTACGAACATACTTGTCTTGGAATTTGCCAAACTTTTCATGTGTCATTTGTTAATAGAGCTGGCTTCTCTTGAAGAAAAAAAGATATACTTGTAGAGTAGTGGCTTCTGACTCACATTCATGAAATAAATACCCGACATAGACACTCAGAAAAAATAACGTCTATAGAAGAGATGCTCTCAACTGCATCCGTCAGCTCTTGTGTTCACTGTCGTGAATATGCAAAATTCGCTTGCTCTGGATGCCAGGCAAAGTTTTGCCAACATCATGCTGGTGAACATAAAAAAATGCTAGACCGGCAACTACAGTCATTGACGAAGGATACGGATCAAATTACAAATCGACTGTCTGAAGACCATATTCAT